AAGAGGTGAATTCTTCTTGTTGAAGCGCGCAGTGAAGTCGGTTTTAAATTTGTACAATATTGCTTCTTGCAGTCTTCAGCCATGGACATAAGTTGTGAAATATCTAATAGCAGTCTTGAAGCTACAGAGTTATGGACACCCGGAAGTGAAGTCCGGGAGTACAGCCATGAACTGTGGCTGACAAGACTGGCCTGTACCTTGATCAAAAGTGGATTTGTCAAAGATGAAGTTCTTATTGTGTTATCCCCCATTTGCGACGTAAAGGTAATTTGGTTGGCATGTTTATTTTAGGCGTGTGTTCTGATAGTTATAATTTTAAATGGGCTCCCCTTAGGAGACATTTGGTTTGGTTTTCACACGGAGCCAAACTGCCCGTAGCGCGCGAAAATGCGATTAAAACAAAGTAAAATCAAGGTAATCCCTGATAACTTTCGAAATTCAAATAAGAGGACAATCAGGAAGCAACTATTTCGTAAGGGAACAGACTTAATGAGCTTTGTGATCCACCAAGAGGATGAAAAACAAAAAACAAACAAGCGAAAGCGCGTTGAAGTTTGACAACTTTCCCTTATACATCGTAAACTTTTAAATACAAAAGGGAATAAACCTTACAGCTTAAAACTTTTCGAGGACATTGGTCGCATTTAGCAAATGTATCCCGCAAGAGATTTACACCTGTAATTTGATTATATCTTAGACATTTTGGCTGGCTCTAGTTATTTCCACTGCTAATGGATCCTTTATTTACCTGCCCTTATTTATTGACAGGTAGAGTTTGCTGAACACGTTTTTCCCTACTTGATACACAACATACTGGAATGTGGAGATGATGCCATCAGGACGACGTTGTCGGAACAGTTCAGAAACTTCTTCACTTTTTGTAATGGAACAAGTGTTGTCCCAAGCAGACCCAACTCTCCGTTACCTCCGAATCAGCCATCCTCAAGCAAAAGCGAAGGTGAGATAAACGTTCTTGTTAGTGAATAGATTGTATTTCGAAATGAAAATCATGTAGTAAAGTTTTGTGGTGTTTATATTTCCGATGTGGATAGGAAAGTTTCAACAGCATATCAGCCAATCATAGCTGAGAATGGTTCATTTGGTGACACGGACTCAGTCTCCTTTATTCGCTGAGGAAGACTCGAAGTATGTTGTCGAAACGTCGCAATCCCTATTGAAAAGACACTACAACGTGAGGCAAACGATTATATCCCACGACAGGAGTATATATTGCAATGAATGACCACAATGTGTCTGTTGTGTTTCTTTGTTTTATTGTGATGCTTCTCCATCTTCTTATTTCAACGAAACGTATCTCACGCACATCTTATACAAGTCTGCATAGCTTCCGTGAGATATATCAGTTTTGTTTCCATAACGTGAAGCAACGTGGAATATCGCAAATCCTTCTAAACAGGACAATGGTCAATCGCAAGTAACCTCCAGCAATTCATCATCTCCCTCTTTCATTGTCCTGGTACTCATTGGTACTTCTTGGGATACGTCTCTCTTCACTTCTTTTACAATTCTTCACTGAAGTGTGGGAGACACGGGTTTGAATCCCGTCGAAGCTGAAATTTTTTTCCAGGCTTCTTTTCTGAAGTTTCTTAAGTTGCCGCCCCCCTGCGAGGGTCCTCTCTTCACTTGAATGTCATTTTTATGACAACTTATGATTTATTTAATTGAAAAAAAAAATTCCTTACGCTTCTCTGTGTAGAGGAAAGTGAGGTGCCAGAGAACAGATCGCAATGGCCTCGGGCATCGCTGAACCTGGATGTTTTGCTCCGGAGTCTAGTGCTTTAATCGTCAAGTTACCGCCAGTGTCTCACACAATCTCATTCAATTTATCCATATCGTTGTCGTTCCTACGTACACGAAATGCGACGCCCAGCTTCCACGTCCCTTCAGTGATTTCTCAGTCTTTAGAAGCCCTTCGCTCCAATATGGAAAACAAGAACCAACCTTCTTGTTCCATCTTGTGCTTTGTGCTCAACACCTTCCTACCATTACCCATCTGT